GGGGGGGGGTAGAAAACAGTGCTGTAAGTAAATTCGTTAAAACTAACTAGTTACAAGTAGTCGTTACATTTTTCGGTAACGGTAACTTGTTACATTTTGAGAACATGTAACTGTAACGGTAACTAGTTACAAAAAATGCCATAAAATTGAAACGATTACAAGTTATTTTGCCAAAGTTACAAGTTACATTTTGTTCGTTGCTATTTGTGTACGTTTTTAAAATGAAATTAATCAATACACATTGAGGCAAGCTCTTAATCATCCGTGCACAGGAATAATTTAATCTGACACAACAGAATCCGTTCAAGACACAAATTTAAGTCAAGGATTGACGTCAAATTTACGTACAGTTGGAACTGATCGGAATGCCATCGCTCGCCTCCACTTGGGCCTTGGCCTCGTCATAATTGGTCTTTGGCCTCATTTCACTTGGCCTTAATTGGCCCAGTCATGATCACATATTCACGTTTCTGCTTTTTCATTGCAAAGTCAGAAGCCACCAGCCAGTGAGGGATATTTTTTTTCAAAATCTATTCGTTCAGACTGTATAATAGCAGAGTTTTTCTAATTGACAATACTATTAAAAAATCAATTTGGTGGAATTTTACAGATGCATGCAGATACATCTAGTAAATAGTTATTAATTTTCCCAACAATTTTGCCGCAAGTTTCATTACCATTCGGCCTATTCGAATTGTGTGCGTTCTTAATTGCAATCAATAAATGTAACTTGTAACTTTGTAACTAAGTTACAAAAAATATATTGTAACTTTGTAACTGTAACTAGTTACACTTTGGCGTCTGTAACTTGTATCGGTAACTAGTTATGTTTTTGGTAATGTAACTACTGTATAACTGTAACTAGTTACAAATAAACTGTAACTGTTACAGCACTGGTAGAAAATTACCGAAGCCAAAATTTCGATACAGAAACAGAGAGACTGGCGAACTTTTGGCTTGTTCTAACAGAGTAAAGCAAGTCGCCTAGAGTGTTAAACGTCGTAAAAGCATGGGCTATTTCGGGACGCAATTATCAATTTATTTATCAATTTATTAAAAGATACCGATTTTGCAGTTAAAAACTGAATAATTTACACTGGTTTACATGCATATGAGTAAAAATGTCTACAAACATTTTGATCTCGTTGCTCAAGTATTGTGCCAAGCTATAGTGCCCTACCTTGCACAAAAATTCTAAGATTGGTCGAACGCAGGTAGTATAAACCCAGACTAACTTGCCCGCTGGTATAGAGGATTTCTTAAGTAATCGTAAGGCATACAAATGCTTCGAAGCTTTCTTGCAGATATAATCAACGTGCTCGATCCATTTAAGATCTTTAGAGATCATGACACCAAGTAATTTAGCATGCAGGACCATGCACGACTATATCATGACCGTCAATGGTGATCGGCGGAAGAGCCACAGGATCAAGAGAAGAAAACCCAACACAAACTTCTTTTGTTTTTGTAGGGTTCAGTTTCATGTTATTCTCAGAAGCCCATTTAGTAGATTCTGTAATTTGAGACGGTAGGACCGAGTTGGATTCTTGACCCTTCATTGGCGGACAAAGTAAGTTATAGTTTATATTTTTACCTTGACTTTGCAAAGATTTTTAGCCATTTTTGCCATTTTCCCAGCACAAGGTGCACAGTTGATAAGTAAAATTGTCTTGCGTGAGATGTACGTCAGAGTTAAATTTCAAAGTACTTAAAGTAGGGAGTGTTAGGGAAAAATGCGTCTAAATACTGTGCCTACATGAAACATGGGCTTAGCTTAGCTAGACACTTCCCTTGACCAATAAAACTGTCTGGCATTAGGGAAGATAATTAACATTTATTAAACAAACTGCTGAAAATTGGGCTCATAACATTGGAGTGAAATCCATGGGTAATTCTAAAAAAAAACATGCTCAACACTATTGCCGGGGTGTCTGTAAAATGTATAAAATGTAGCCCAAAGGTTGTTACATATATTATTAAGCTGATCATAGGCTATTTGTATTAAAGTTTGAACAAGCAAACTAAGGCCCGTTTCAGACGGCGTACTCTTCATGTGCCGAACTTAATTGTATTAGATGCGACACAAGAACGGCAGTGATTCAAACGGCGTACCAAATACAATGTTATTGACAAGCTTGGGGCGCATTCGCCAGCGAAACCTCGATAAAATTCAAAATAAATAAGTTTATTTTTAGACTAAAGTTGAGTTAGGTTTGGCACATGAGTGGAGTGGCGTATGAATCAATGTCGCTCCAACGTCGCATAATGCGACAAGCTCTGCCAAACTTGTGTCGAAATTCCAGGGTTTGAATTAATTCTGAAAAAATGGTTCGTGAATTAATTTTTCTATTTTAAGGAAATTTTAAGGAATTTTCAAGGAATTTTCTCTAATTAACACCTTCGTTCACCATACTTACCCGTTTGGATGGTGAGGTGTTAGCCCGGGTGACCGAGGGGTGGCCTGGAACGACTACTGGTACTACTGTTACTTGGACTCGGGTTAAGATCCATGCCAGTGGTATCTTGAGCAGACCACCAAGGGTGATGAACCATCACCCCTCCAAGGAACAGCCTTAACCAGCGTAATGCGAATGGCGACCCACCAGCGATACCATGCCGTATGGTATAAAACGTAGCGAATTGTGGGCCACCAGCGGTACCAGACTGCATGGTATACAACGGAACGTGCTACAAACTTGCGACCCACCAGCGGACCAAGCAATTGTAGGCCACAAGCGGTACCAGACTGTATGGTACTCATACTAATTGGATCTTAACAAGTGGAAGCACTGCTTTTTTCAAATATATAATATACATCGCAAACTCGCAAAGAAATAGAATTTTGGGTGGAATTATAATCGTTTTTAAGTATAATCTAACAACAATATCTTCAAAATATATGATCCTTCATCACATTTACAAAGAACTGAATTTATTATTGTATATTTTTATCAATTTGAGAGACTTTTGATTCGTGAAAAATGAAAATTGATTCGTGATTCACGAATCACGAACCGTTATTTCGAACCCTGAATTCTGCCGTACTTAAATTGATTCATACGTTGCTCTTCTGCCGTACCTAATTCATCAATTAAGTTTGGCACATGATAAGTACGCGTCTGAAATGGCCTAAGGACTTTAACTGTCTCCAGTTAGGGACATGTCCATAAATCAAGTTGCCACACAACACATCATATTTACATTTTCAGTCCTTGAAACTCCCGAAATTTCAGGTCGGCAAGAAATAGCCGACCTAAAAGTGATAATTCTCAATCTAGGTCGGCAAATATTTTCAAAACAAATGGAAAATATCCAAATGAAAATTTAATTTGCTTGCTGCAAATATGCGTATTTATAAACAATATTGCAATCAATGCCAATAGCAAACAAAACAACTAACAAAATGTATGAACTGCAATCGAACAGTGCATGTTGTGCGGACCAAATGTTGTGACAGCTTTATTACCATATACTTTCGCTTGGACGATTTTGACACGTATGTTTACTTTCAAAGTTTCAAGTATCACCTTTCAACAATGAAACTGCAATGTGACCATGCAAGCTAATGATCAAGACCTGATAATTAAAACATCATCGTTGAAAATGCGTATGTGAAAGATGCATTCAAGGAAAAAAATGCCTAGAGGTATTTGAAAGTAGGTCGGCAAACTAAATCTACACATATCGCTTTGCAGGTTCGGTCGGCATTTAGGTCGGCATTCATGGGCGTACCGGAACAAAAAAATTAGGGGGGCGGAAAGCAAATTGGCCGACTTTTCGGGATTGTGCCCGACTA